ATCAGGCGGGAGGTTTCTATGATGATGGAATTCAGGAGCAGAGGATTCATATAACTATGAGGATGAAATTCAGGAGCAACCAGCTTATGAATTCCATCCTCATAGTTATATGAAAAGTGCCTTCATATTGAGGAAATTATGTTGAAAAGTAGATTAAGGTACAGGCTTTCATGTAAGAATAAAATTATTTAAACAATTAAACAATTGCAGTTGTTTTTTTTAATATCAAAACGGTACTTAAGGGAAAGTGGTGCAAGATGGGGCCATGGGTAAGACGGGAACGACTGTTTATTCGCGGTTAACGCACTTTCATTTAGCTGTTATTTGAAAACTAAATGTCAACCTCAAAAGGGATCACGGGACGAGAAAACGTCCGAATCGCTTTCTTCGTTTCGAAGTAAGACAGTTTTCCATGTTTCAGCATTAGCGAGGTTGAGGCCGAAGTTTTAAACGCGAAAACGTGTACGTCGGACTTTCAGCGCCGCTTTCCTGTAAGCCTAGAATTTTGACAATGGTGTTTGGATAGTCAGTGGAATCATCTCGACATTCCAAATACCATTGTCAAACTTCTAGGCTTACAGGAAAGCAGCGCTGAAGGTCCGACGTACACGTTTTCGCGTTTAAAACTTCGGCCTCAACCTTGCTAATACTGTACTTCATCTAATTTTACGCCTGCTACAAAGTTTCTACAAAGTAAGTATCATTGTGAACTTTTACATTACCTTTTAGATGAAGATATTATGGTATTCGAAGTAATCTTTAAGACAGTCATTGTTTAGTTTTGAAATAAAGTTAACCCGTGTTTGCAGTCAGTGTGAAAAGTACATGTTGGGGCAAGATGGTGGCCATGAATATGAATTCTGCTGCTAGCTAGAGGCTTTATTTTATTTATGAAAACATTTTTTTAATTTAAATGCTATCTTAACAAGAAATAAAATATGAGATAAGAATCGAAATAAAAATTTTTCCATTAAAAAAAAATATCGTCTGCTTACAAAATAGCGAAACTGAGCATGCGCGAAGTGACGATATCGTCTGGTAAAGTAAATAGGAGTAAGTTCAAACTTTTATATTTATTTATTTATTAATTTTTTCTCTGAGCTTCGATATGTTTTATGATTAATATTCATTGCACTTTTGCTTCGATATATTTATCGTTAATGTTTCATTAATAAATAGGTCTTCTAGTTAAATATATTGTCTTTTAACTGCAGAATGCCTCTATTGTGGAGGTTTATACTCTGTATCTACAGAGAATGGGCTAAATGTGAACCGTTGTGATAAATAGGCACACTGTTCTTGTGCCAACATTGAAGAAAACGACAGTTTAACCATTTTAATTTGTCCTTCTTGTATATAAAAATAATATCCCCCATCTTACCCCACGGGTGGGGCAAGATGGTGCATTTACATGTAATTTTAAAATATTAAATTTACGTTTTTCAAAAATTAAATTTCGAAAAACGTTTTTAAATTATCAAATGTTGTAGTTGCTGAGAATAAAAAAATTATCGTTCTCATCAAAGTGGTTGTCATCTTATGACTTTTCAAACCTTAACGTTCTCATCTTGCCCCACCTTCCCCTACTTAAAAAAGCACGCCTCATATTTTAGATTTACTGATAGATATATTGTTTTACAAGTTTAATAAAACTCTGGTTTATTTACTTTACAATTGAATTTTGTCCAAAATATCAATATTTAGTAATGGAAAGTCTATATTACCATATCTATATATATAACCCATTGAACGGGTATCCGTCCGCGTAACGGTATGCCAAAAACGGGCACTAGAGGCGCCCTAGCGATGATTTTAAATTAACAATAAATGATTTTTATTTGTAATAGGAATTTATTATTGATAAGAATTTATTTGGATGGTATAAATAATTATTATATGCCTTGATTAACCTTGCGCCGCACATTTACAACATCCCGTGATTCAGTGAACGTCGCGCATTGACTCACGGAAAATTTGTTGAAAAATGGCGGATACATTTAAAATCGAGGTTTACAAGCGAAAGTAAATAAACAAATTAAACTATTTTAAAGTATTTATAGTATGTTTAATAGGTAGAAATATAGATCCGTATGACGCGATTGGGACGGTAAGATTTACGCTCCGAATGAAGGGGTGGCGACCGCCCTCTGTGCGAACAATAAATGTCTAATGAACCATACGCCTATGCGCGACCTTTCCCGAAATAGAGCCCTCCGAAAATTATTCTACGGGTCACGTGACCGCATGTTTGCCACAATTTACTCTGCGAATGAGCGGGTCGGCGACCCCACGAGTGTGCGCGAGCGCACGTTAATATTTTTTCGCGCGGTAGGCTCCCTTTTGACCACGGTGTCACATGACCGGAAATGACGTAGGCGAATTTTCAGGGGCTTATATCTCGCGAAGTCGCGAGTAGGGGTATAGTTCCTTTGACTTTATTGTTCGCATAGGGGGTTGCCACCCCTTCATTCGGAGGGTAAATCTTACCATTGGGACTTTAACGGAGCTGTAGAGCATATTGATAGGAACAAAAAATGCCTCATGGAAATTTGTAAAGAACGCCCACTAGGGGGCGTCCCGGGCTACCAGTATAGTAGAATCCCCTTATATTTTGTTTCAGCAGATTTGTTACTGCTGAAACAAAATAATATAAGGGGATTCTACTATACTAGTTACGTTGATTTGGCATCTGGAGCTGGAGAAAACATCTGTGAACTGCCAATATTTTCTCCAGGTCTGTTAGAGAGATCCATTCTAACATGATTCTGCTATATAGTAATGGACTTTTTGAATAACAGATGAGTCCATAATACTGTATATGATAAAATAACTTTCATTATAATGGACCAATTTCATTGGTCCATGATGGTCTGCTGTGATCGATATGATTTTCGTGCCAAATATTGTATACTAAAATGGAGAAGGCACTGAGGTCAGCGTTACATGTACGTTTTTTATCCACTATCCTATCGGAACTCTATGAGAGAGATTGAGCACAGAATGTTCCATTCCCCGCTTGCCATCCACTACCTGCTATATTTTCGTTATGTTAACGACATTCTCATAGCGTGGGAAGACACAGATGAGACGTTTCTCACCTTTATGCAGCAACTCTCAAGCATATATCCTTCCATCAGGTTTACTTGGGAGAAAAAAAAACGACGCTGTAATAGCATTCTTAGATTTGCATATACGTAAATCTCCGGAAGGACCATAGTTCTCGGTTTATTACAAATGTAACATAGCACCACACATTATCCCAGCAGAGGCCTTTCACAATACGTAAATGCCGCTATTGCCTCCCTCATCAGAAGGGCTTTCTTATCATCATCTTCGCAAGAGCTGGTAAACGTTGAGTTAGAGCCTGTACACACTAGGCGTTTTTCAACGCGCGTTTTAAAGAACCAAGAGTTCTATGTAGCTGTACACACTCAAACACGCGCTTTTGGCCAAGCGCGCGTTTATAGATTTTTGTTAAAACGCGCGTTTTGCGGGCGTTAGCCGAGCGCTTTGAGATATATGTGCTGCCATGTTACCGTACATGCGATCGCGCGTTTTCCCGGCGCTTCTAGATTTTCGCCGCCATTTTGCTGTATATTCGATCGCGCGCTTTTGGGTAATATCTACTTTTATAATATGGAGTAAGTCGTCAAATGATTTTAGATATTTTAAAAGAATTAAAAAACTTGAATTTATTTTGTCTTAGTTTTGGATACAACGTCGCAAACATTTCATGCGTCAGTCTATCTCGTAATATTGGGTGCACCCAAAATTCTCTTTGCTTCTGCTGTAGTCTTTTATAGCGACGATAGAGGAGCCACACACAAGCAATCACTTCCACATCCATTTCCAAACCGAGCTAGTGCGCACGCTCCGCTAAACGCTCGTTTAAAAACGCCTAGTGTGTACACAGCCTTAGACAACATCAGTTTGGCGGTACGAACTGCTGGTTATTCATGCTCTAAATTTACGCATGTTCTCAATAGGGTAAAAAAAAATCAGTTTCCAAGCACTATGCTATGCAGTAAAGAGGAGTTTTATGTGGTCCAAACGTCGTTACCATACCTCGGTCCCCTCTCAATACGTATCTGCAGAATTTTCAAGCAGCGCAACCTTGTCCTACCACTAACTCCACTTCCAAACCTATGCAAGCTTATTTGCAATGATAGAGACAAGTTTTCCATTCTCGAGAAGTCAGGGATCTATGCTGTTCCACTGGAAAATCATGCAACAGGAGTAAACACAAGATATATCGGGGCCACTACTAGAATGCTCGCCAGCCGCCTTGCAGGGAACCAAGAGCATGTGGTGAGGGGTAGGCACACCACAGAACTTACAAAAAAGGTACTCGAGCAGGGTTACAACCCGCTATGGTCCTAAGCATTTATGTTCAAGAGCTGTAAAGATCGAAAAATAGTTTTCATATGGGAATCTCTCCTTACTACCACCTTGGATGCATGCAACAATCCTACCCTCGATCTACCCACTGTATGGGTCACGCTGTATAAGCGATTAAGCAACTATTAGAATTCTCCAGTATACGTATAGCGTAAGCCTAGATCTGCGCGTGCGCTGCTTCGGACGTCACAGAGTTTACTGCTCGTTCAGTTTTCGAACATATTTGAACATTTGTTTTGTGTTCTTAACGGCTTTGACAAAAGTTTCAACTTAAATTTTAAGCGTTCTATTCTATATCGGATATTTCCGTTTAACTTCTTGATAAATTTCCTAATTCGCCTGATGACGATGACTATACAGTAGGTGGTTTGTTGTATCAAGCTTTTACTATATTGTAATTTCTTTGAAAGATATTACTTTCTCTCACAGATTCTACCCTATATATATTTTTTAAATAGTTGCTGAGAATAAAAAAAATTATCGTTCTCATCAAAGTGGTTGTCATCTTATGACTTTTCAAACCTTAACGTTCTCATCTTGCCCCACCTTCCCCTACTTAAAAAAGNCCACTACTAGAATGCTCGCCAGCCGCCTTGCAGGGAACCAAGAGCATGTGGTGAGGGGTAGGCACACCACAGAACTTACAAAAAAGGTACTCGAGCAGGGTTACAACCCGCTATGGTCCTAAGCATTTATGTTCAAGAGCTGTAAAGATCGAAAAATAGTTTTCATATGGGAATCTCTCCTTACTACCACCTTGGATGCATGCAACAATCCTACCCTCGATCTACCCACTGTATGGGTCACGCTGTATAAGCGATTAAGCAACTATTAGAATTCTCCAGTATACGTATAGCGTAAGCCTAGATCTGCGCGTGCGCTGCTTCGGACGTCACAGAGTTTACTGCTCGTTCAGTTTTCGAACATATTTGAACATTTGTTTTGTGTTCTTAACGGCTTTGACAAAAGTTTCAACTTAAATTTTAAGCGTTCTATTCTATATCGGATATTTCCGTTTAACTTCTTGATAAATTTCCTAATTCGCCTGATGACGATGACTATACAGTAGGTGGTTTGTTGTATCAAGCTTTTACTATATTGTAATTTCTTTGAAAGATATTACTTTCTCTCACAGATTCTACCCTATATATATTTTTTAAATTTCAATTTTATCATATAAAATAAAAACTTATTTTAAAGCTATTTCAGAAATTGTCGTCATCACCTGAAATATTGTTTTGTAAACTATTGACAATGAATGAATGAATGAAGAGGCATTATTGAAAATTAATTTTATGGACTAAAGTAAGTTAAAATGAATAGTAAAATCGTTGGTGCACAAGAATAGTGACAATTAAAAAAAAATAGATCTTCCAGAACAGCCATTTAAAAGTTTCTTTTTCCTGCAAGGCTTTGTCATGATCTTGGATTTTTAAAATTTTCAAATCTTTTTTGGAAATAAATATTAGTTTCGTTCTTCCACATAAAAATATGGGGAGTTTGCTATACATTTCTACAATAAACTCGAAATTGGAAATTTTTGAGTTGTGTCACTATTCTTGTGCACCAACGAATGTATAAAATTCTCTCTCTCTAGTTTTGTCATTTTAGCAATCTTACTGGACAAACAAAAGAATAAAGAAACTCTCAAAAATATTAAAAAGATTTATAATAAATTAATTTATTTTATAACAATTTCTGTAAATATTTTGTGTTATTATGTTATAGATATTTTTAAGGATTTAAAGATTACAAAGTAATAAAGTAAGGTTTAGAATAACTTGTAAGAAAAGTCTCTTTAGTATTAATAATTTTTTTAAATATTTTCCAAAATTTACTGCAAACGGCTTAAAAAGATTATACTATATTTTTTTTTATTAACTTTTGATATTTAATTTAGTTCACAAAAATTGAAATAAAGTTTCTATTTGTTATTTTTACAAATAAATAACAAGTCCACTGAAAAAGTTAAACATTCTAATTAAAATATATTCATATGTACAGAGTAGATATTGTTCATTACACTTATACAAAAAATACTGAAATATGTTTCACTTCAAAAAAAGTTCAATTAATAATAATTTGAATGATTTTGATTCTCATTAAAACTACTTCATGTAGTAGAATTTAAATATCTACACATAGATATTTTCAATAAGCATGCTTAGCATACATATTAAATATATTTTCATATTACAATATATAACATGCTTGTATACCATTTCAATAGCAAGATTAGTCAATATTATAAAAATATTTTATAATGTTGGCTCTTTCTTCTCTTGGTCCCACATTCCTTTCTATTTCTTTTTGAATCACAGTCTTTTTTTTAGATATTTAATTTTGTAAGCATTGTTGAAAATCCACAGAAGAATAAAACAACATATAAGCTGCTGAAGTCTACAAAGATAAAAAAAACATTAATTTACTTAAATAGTATATTATCATAATTATAGAAAATAAACACAACTGAAAATTTCCTAATAAATTAGAGAAAGATAATTCAAAGAAACTTTTTAATCAAGTTTAATAGTTTAAACCCTAATAAATTAGAGAAAGATAATTCAAAGAAACTTTTTAATCAAGTTTAATAGTTTAAACTTGATTAAAAAGCAGTAATATAATTCAGGTAATGATTTTACCTAAATTATAATCAGCTGAAAAAGGGTACATAGCCCAAAATGTACATATTGGTTTAATAAAATCTCAGTGAGCTTTCCAATTGAAAACTGTGGTGTGATAAATCTATAAAATTTATAGCAAATTACCTATAGCTATTTGGAAGATTTATTGCAATATAGGACTAAAAGCAAATAATTATAACAAAATTGTCTCATTTTATCAATATTTTCAAACATTATTTGTAACTCATTTACAAAGACTTTTATTGAAAAAACAATATGCACCGTTAAATGATATGCAAGGATTACAAATATTCTAAAATATAATAAAAATTTTGCTTTTAAGTTATGATGTGAATGAAGTTTTTTTTTACATTTATTCTTTTTTTTAATGTTTATATTGTTAAGTTAGAAAAAACTTTTCATTTTCTGATTTATTGTTTACAGAAAATTTTCAAATCTCTAAAAATCCATAAAAAATAAAATATTCATGTATTTTTATCACTTGAACAAATATTAAAGTGATTTATTATAAAAACTATTAAAATTATAATCAATATATATAATAAAAGTAAGTGTATAATGTGCATGCCGCTAAAACTCAAAAATGAGTCCCCGTAAGATCAAGGGAGTTATATGGTATGGTAGCCCTCTATCTCCCATCCATGAAGAAGGTTCCCGTTTTTACCTGAAGAGCGTGCTGTTGAAGATATAAGGGCTGGAATTTTTTCCCTCTAGAAATTTCAAGAGCATTCCACAACATTCCGGGATGCTTTGGAACGCTCGGGAACATCCAAGATTATTGTGGAACATTCCAGAACACTCTCGAATGTTCTGGAACATTGTGGACCATTCAAAGCCTTTTTTGTATGAGTGGGGCTACCCATTGGTAAAGGTATATAAAGAAGATCCGTCGTGGGTTTGAACATCAGTTTCTTATCAGTGACGAAGAAAAGAACCAAAAAAAGTGAAAATTCCAAAGTAGTGCAGTGAGTGAATAAAAACCAACAGTGAAGTGTGAGTAGTCAAAGTGATACAGTGACTGGATATAAATCGAAAATGAAGTGTGAAAACTGTGTAAAGTGTACTTAGCATATTTGTTAATAAAAAGTTGATTTGATTTATATTTTATACAAAGTCCAAACTTAAAAGAGGAGCAGCTCATGCCAGTTCTGAATTTTCTTTTGAATATTAAAGTTGATATTGTTGACAATATTATTTTTAGTTGCCAAAATTGCCCTTTGAAATAGCCACTCCGGATTGGTATAGTTGTGAACAATGTTTGGATAAATTTGGTCGATGAGTTCGTTTTCAGTAGCGGCTATGTTGCAAAAATCACTGTTAAATAATTAATTAACCTTAAGTCCCAAGCCCGAGATATCTCGGGCAAGTTACATAGTGTTACATAAAATGTGGTTCTTAAGGCCATTTTTGAATGTTTTTTCTTTTGAATTTTTGGAATGTTTTTTAAGTCTCCAAATTTTTTCAAAATTTTTTTCCCGCGCAAAACAATTTTATCGCGATTTTAATTTACCTTTAATGACGCACGCTTCACGCTTAATTACTTTTTAATAGTTTTTAATGGGAGTTTGATATCAAATTTCATTCATCATTCTAAAGTTGTAGTGCACTGATTTTCCTTCGGTAAAGTTATTTAAAGCTAGTTTCTGATGTCAAAAACGACCTCTGATAGTTTTTTTAATTTTTTTAATTAATAGATTTTATTATATATAAGTTTAATTAAGTCGAGGGGTCGGAAATCTGAATAAAAATTTTAATTTTTTAAAAATATAGGTCTAGTTAGTATTCACCCTACTTTAAACCCTTCTCCTGCCGAGACGTCTATGAGAATGTCCTGGGAAATAGGACACCAGCTGTTCTTAAGGTCATCCAGCTGTGTAAACAATGACTCGTCAGTGTCAAATTTCACAGAAAGACGAGACAAAGGAAAATAAAATTTGAAGCTTTTTCTTCGAAATTAATGCATTTCTTTCGTTTTTTTTCAGTTTTAAGTATTTTTTATGTTTAATTACATTAATATCAAAAATTGCTCGCGGCTTAAGGAGTTACGATAAATGAGGCTGGTCGTCTGGTTAGTGGGATATGTGCCTTCGCCTATTTGTAAAAGTTTTTGAGCAAAATGTTGTTTATAAACAAGTATTGTAAATAGTTGGAATATGTTTTCAATAAAATTATTTTACCTCTTATATTTTAAAGTTTATCCTTTTATTCCAACTACCACACAATCTCATATCAACTCCCTGAGTGAAGCCGGGTACCCCAGCTAGTTATTTTATATAACATAAAGTTTGTTTGATAGTGACATAATAAAGGGAGTTTATGAGAAACGATAAATATAGAAGGTCAAAAAACATCCAAATATAACAAATGCTGATTTAGAGCATTTGCAATTTATTAACACATACCACTATCTTAAAAAAACTTTTAATAGATGACAAAAAAATTTTACTAACATTTACTATGATAGTAATTATATATGAAGCGTGCAATGCTGTAATGTTGTAAATGCCAAAAAACAAACCATTCAGGTGAGGTAAAAAACACTTTTTGTAGTGAATGAATTCATTTCAATTTTACAATAAAATGGTAAAAAGTTCACTAGGTTACAAATTCTCTGGAATATGAAAATGATGTAAATATAAGCAGTAACCAAATATCTTACTCAGCTCCTTAAATAATAAATACGTTCAAGAATACTTGCATATGAAGATGGCCTGTCGTATTAGGTAGAAAACGTTATTATTTCTTTAAATAAACGTTTTTCTCAGCATCAAGTATTTATTATAAGCAGTAACATTTTAGGCATCAAAAGTCACATGACTTGCACTTTGTCACTTTAAACATTTTGGCTTCACATAAATTCAACTTCAAAATACAGCCACTTAGTGCTAATATTATCACAATATTTTTTTGTAGCAGTAAACATTGCATTTAGAATTCAATTATTCAACAAAATGTATTTAGAGAAAAATGGCATTTACAATGTTATGGCATTGCACACTTCATATACTTGTATGTTACATTAAATTTTATTGACTAAATCATTATAACATCAATGTGAGGGGCTCAGCTGTGGATACAGAGTGGTAAGACTCTAGTATCACTTACTCGGCAACTATTCTCTAGAATAGTCCTCTGTTTGTCTAACAAGGATGGATTTTCTATTCAAAGAAATCGAATGTGGAGGGCTTTAACCAATAAGTTCATTTACAGTTTGAATGTTAATTTAAAAGCAGAATTAGATGATTGCGTAATCACCTTCTCCTCGTCAGGATTCCCGACACCAGTTAATTGTTTTACACATGGATTAACATGCATTATCCTTAAACTTGTGAATAGGAAGAGCGAAGGGAACTTAATATATTAATATTGTTCAAGTTACATAACAATTGTTGTTCGTAGCTACCTGAGAAAGTCCTGTTACATTTTCTCAAAGACAACATGATGCTTTCTCGTGATCTTTTAACCTCTGGACGGCCGATATAGTCCTTGAATATCACCAGTGACAGCTGAAAAAAGTCAGTCGTCGTCCATCATTCTAACAAAGGAAACCTGCACCGATTACTCCCGGAATATCTTCAACCAGTGCCATTTGGATACCTTGTGCCATCATTGTGCTAGTGGATATTATATTGGAACTAATCACCATCGGAACTGTTATCAAACAATGAGAGCTCCATCGGGAGATCACCTTTTATCACCAGGTATTTATGCAACTCGCACTCGTTATGTGAACTCTCTCTCTCTCTCTCTCTCCACAACAAAACTTAGAACCTCTTTATCCTTTCCAATTTATTTTTGATTAAAACCTTGTTAATTGTTAAATGTAGTTTGAGTCTCTTCCACATGCTGTCTCTCGATTGGCTGACATTACGAATGTCTGTCTGTCCACTTATGGGACTGCTTGTGCAACATGTGATGTAGTAATTGCTGCCTCGGCTTCCATGTTCTGATAAACACGATGGTGTCAATCCTGACAGGGCACCAAGGAGGTGCCCACCCTAAGGTCACATAATTATATGACTGTATATCATTCTCCAGCCATTTATTACATATGTTTTGAAAATAACCATAAGTCAAATTATATACATTCAGGGATCAGAGTTCGAATGTAAGCTGTACATTGCCCACTGCTGCTCTATACTTTACTAGAAATAGAACTTTTGTTATAGTATCATATGGAGTTTAATCAACTTTGTTTTTCATTATTTGCTTAACTATTAATTTTATAGGTATAAAACAAAACTATTAACTCTGTTGAAATGCTAGGCTGACACTGTAATATCTTCTGTTTTAAATAATATAATTGTAATTTTAAAAAATGATCAATAATTTATTCTATAAATCATATAAATTTATACTCACTTTGATATCACTTTCATAAATGTCATATACTTCATGATCGTCGTATTTATACCATCTATTATATAGACTATTTTTACAATATGCAGTATCTATGTAAATAAAAAACATTTTAAACATTACTCTAATTTGTTAATAAAAGTTATATATATATAATACTATAAATGTAAGAAAATGTATCCATTTTTACCCAAAGAAAATAAGTAGACTTATTAAAAGTGTTTAGTTTTTTTATTAATTTCTATTACATTTTAATATATCATTAAATTTAACACTAAAGCACTGTAATAGTCTTTATTTTATTGGTGTGAGCCAAAATTTGCAAGATTTCATCAACACTTTTGGGGAAACATGAATACAATTAAAAGTAATTGCAATAATTGCAACTGGTATTTAGATGACTGTCCCACTTTTTGATCAGTTTATGGATATCATCATGGTAGAAAGTATTTTGCTGTTCCTGAAACCATGTCTGACAACATACATCAAATCATCCAAAGACATGATAGTCACATTGTGACTATCATGTCTTTGGATGATTTGATATCAGAAAAATAAGGTGGATGTTCTAAGCTTTGAAAGCTTGCACACTAATTTGCTTGAATAGTGTTATCCATTTTCTTCAGCATGCCAACCATTAACACAGTGCTTGGCCTGTACCTGCTAGGTTGTTAATGTCATTGTGATCTTTCCTGAGCAATGAACTCCATCTTGCTATACTTTGGAGTAACATTGTACACTGCTGATACATGTCTATGAATTTCAGCTGCTCCAACCCTCTGCAACAAGAAACTGGATCATAACTTGTTGGTCAATTCTGGATTGATTTGATATTATAGTAGCCATCATTTCCTTAGTGGTGCATCACAAATCCATGTGTCATTCTAACACACTAACTGGAAATATAAATCATACAAATGGACCACAAGGGTTGTTAAAATCTATGTCCAACGATTTGACTTCTTAATCTCACAACTTTTGACTCATCCTAATATTTACAATTTGTAATGTATGTTGTCACTATGTATTATATTCATTATATTGAGGACTTACTGAATTAGATATTTGTGTGAAAATATTTTAAGACACATATCCAATATATAACAACACTGATTTAGATATACTGATGTAGTTAATAAGATAAATAAATAAATAACTTAAACCCTAACTATATTCAGAGTGACCACAAATGAAGTACAGTCGACCCCCCATAACACGGATTCCTATAGTTTGGATTCCTATATGACAGCAAAAAAATTGCGACGGTATCCGTATAAACATGGTAAAAAACTCCTATAATTCAGTAAAACGTCATCAGACAGCTGAACTACTTTCCACCATCCAGCGCCACGCTACGGAGAGTTTAGGTGGATAAATTGAGTTTACTATCGTCTGTACAGTATTATATATAAATTAGGTACTGTACATATAATTATATATTAATTATATATAAATTAGGTACTGTATATATAATTATATATTAACTTAATTTATTGTAACTTTATTATAATTATATATATGCTTTCTGCCGCCTGGCAACACGCTACGGAGATTTTAGGCTAGTAAGTTGAGTTTATTATCGTCTGCACAGTATGTAAATTAGGTACCGTAAGTCTAATACAGCACTAATTTTATACATTTCTTGTGAAAGAAACACTTCTTATTCAACGGCCATAAAAATTATTTATATTAATGATGTCTCCAAAGTTCAATGAAGTTTTTGCAGAAAAATAACTTATCAGAAAACGCGCCCGCCGTTTGATGCACTGCTCCGTGACGAAAACAAGCTTAAGCAATGGCGACATTGAACAGTGCACACTCGGTAAGTAATCTTACAATTTTTTGTTTATAGCATAGTTTATACGGATTATTCCCAAAAAAATATATGTATTTTGGAAATGTTGAGTCAAATTAGTCTAGGAATCAATTAATTTTATGGAAGAAAACCTTTCAAACAGCCGTAGTCCGTAAACTTCACACGTGTTGGGGTGTGATTGGCAAGGTCTCCTAAAACATCAATTTCATAAAAAATGGAACGTATCTACCGTGTTATAGGGGGGGTCGACTGTATACAACTGTTTTTTTTTTGTGTGAAATCAACATAAACACAATAATATTCAGCAGCTTATTTTTATTGATAAAATGAATGGTAATGCCAAAAGTTTTCAACAGATGATGCTAGATGGCTTATAGTTGGCTGATTCAGACAGTGCTGTCTCACAAACAACAGAAATAGCATCATCACAGAGAAAGTAACTTGCATGTTATGGTTTGCAGAGCCATAAATCTCTAATAGAAGTATGGAAAAAGTTCAGAATAGAGTATGACAGACAACCACTGATATAAAAGAGCACTGATCAATAGACAAAGAAGTTCAAAGCAACAGGAAGTGTTTTGAAAGATAAGAGTGCTAAAGGGTGGAAGATGCAAGTCAGGTTTTCTCAGAATCCAAACACGTCAATGCATATTGCCAGTCAAACTTGGTATATCTAACAAGGAGAGCTTACGGCTTTGAGGTAACGGATTTTGATGATCTTTGGTGGGGTAGAGGTAGTACACCATGTGAGTGTACTACCTGTAAAATACTAAAGTGCAATACTCAGATATAATCGAGAAAATCAAACTTAAAGTTTTGTTAGCACTTTATATATAAATTATACGTACTTCTACTCGAGCGTCCTGTGGCAGAGTGGTAATGAGTCTGATTCATAAGCTTGAGTTCCCCGGTTCGATTCTCGTGTATAATTTTTTTTTTAATTCATAAGTACTTATAATGTATTTATTTATTTACTCATTCATTTATTTCTTATTATTTATTTATTTTAATTTAATTTCTACTATTCCAAGTCTAATATTTTTATACTTTTGTTGACAATAACGGCGCATTCTTGACACCTATGTGTCAACTTTCCCATCTAATTGTTATCACTAACGGTGACCGATCTAATTCTCACTAGGAGCGTTTTTTCTATCGGAGTTCTTTTTCACTCACTCTTTAACAGTTCGTTTCTAAATTTCGACACGAATAGACGTATTTGTGTAGTAAAACTTATTTTGAAAAATTATTTTATAATCGAAAAATGTCGTCAAGAGAAGCAAGTTCTTCACGTTGTGACGAAAAAACTGTTGATGATACCTTTTAAAAAAGCAGCATTTATTTGTTGTTCTTGGTGTAGACAGAATTTTTGTTTTGAATGTTTTTATCATAAGTATCATTCACGATCATGTACATCTGACAATGATATGTAATTATATAATATTGCTTCAATAAATTATATTCGTTTTTCTTGGTTATATTTGAGTTTTGCACTTTACAAGTTAGTATTTTACATCACTGTATAAAAAGTTATCATCAACAGTTTTTTCGTCACAACGTGAAGAACTTGCTTCTCTTGACGACATTTTTCGATTATAAAATAATTTTTCAAAATAAGTTTTACTACACAAATACGTCTATTCGTGTCGAAATTTAGAAACGAACTGTTAAAGAGTGAGTGAAAAAGAACTCCGATAGAAAAAACGCTCCTAGTGAGAATTAGATCGGTCACCGTTAGTGATAACAATTAGATGGGAAAGTTGACACATAGGTGTCAAGAATGCACCGTTATTGTCAACAAAAGTATAAAAATATTAGACTTGGAATAGTAGAAATTAAATTAAAATAAATAAATAATAAGAAATAAATGAATGAGTAAATAAATAAATACATTATAAGTATTTATGAATTAAAAAAAAAAATTATACACGAGAATCAAACCGGGGAACTCAAGCTTATGAACCAGACTCGTTACCACTCTGCCACAGGATGCTCGAGTAGAAGTACGTATAATTTATATATAAAGTGCTAACAAAACTTTAAGTTTGATTTTCTCGATTATATCTGAGTATTGCACTTTAGTATTTTACAGGTAGTACACTCACATGGTGTACTACCTCTACACCAAAGATCATCAAAATCTGTTACCCCAAAGCCATAGGCTCTCCTTGTAAAGCAACAGTTCAAAAAAAGTGCTACATAAATGTTTGCACATTTATGCCTACAAAGTTCAGTTAGTGCAAAATGGAAATGATAAGCCACATCAAACAGTATTTGCTGTAGAAATGCTTGATGGCATTGAGACAGATCCTTACATTTCTATCATGAATCTGTTTCAATATTCCACATTTCTGGCAAAGTAGTACATAAACATAAATGTAGAATCTACGTCATAGAAAATTTTCATGTCACCATAGAACACAAAAGAGACAGTCCAAAGTTTAATGTCTGATGTTCTATAAGGATAGACAAAGTAATAGGATCCTTTTTCTTTGTTGAACCAACCATTATTTAAATAGCATATTTAGACGTATTAGAACAATTTGTAATTCCACAGATCCAAGATATCCTAGACATCATTTTCCAACAAGACAGAGAGCCTCTTGATTGATCTTTGGATGTTCAAAGATCTTTAGACCAATACTTCCTAGAAAATATAACTGAAAACAAAAGTATGACAGAATGCCCATACCATTCTTCTGATATTATTTTTTGCAATTTCTTTCTTTGTGACTTGACCTAAATGAATTCATAATGAACTAAAAGAACACATTACTACAGTCTTCATCCAAGTAACATCTGGTATTCTACAGCATATATGGACCAATCATCTGAACATTGTTTGAGCAACCAAGGTAGCATACATCAAGAATTACTGATCATGCAGAAAAAATTTTCAGAGTTACTATGTATTTCCCCAATACAAGTAACCTGTTATATATTGTAATTTACTTGTGAAAATAAGTGAAAACATCAACTTGTTCAATTAATTCATTTGTGGAATCCTGTATGTTAATGTCAAACAATTATATTTGCTTTATTGGCAAATGACTGTTTCCAAATCATCTTTTTCTGCCAAATAAATTTTAACATATCAGTTTTTATATTTAAAAGTGTTTTTGTGTTAAATTTAATGTAATATATGCATTAATATACAGTCGACCCCCCTATAAGATCATTGATTTTTCCGTTTTATCTGAATTACATGTTGTACGAGTCACTTAGATTTTACAAATACGTGTGCCGGGCTGTGAACGGCTCACATATTTGTAAAAT